TTTTAAAAACAAGCTTCAGTGATATATGGTTTATACTAGGAAAATAATTATTCGTCAAAGATTCCTGAAAAATAGAGCTTAAGGTGTTTAATGATTAAAAACCTGATGTCCTTGAATATAAAAGTCAGATAAAAGCACTGCCAGGGACCTTAATGCAGCTGAAATGATAAACAGAAAGGGAGCAATAATGAGCAAGCCTGAGGTGATTACATTCTCTAATTAGAGCACATGTATCATTTAGGCATGTAATCTTTGTCTGTCTAACACACTTTGCTTAGACTAACCTGTATCCAATGAGCACTTTGATCATCACAGCAGCATGTGCAGGAAGAACCATTACAGGTGTTTGTGTTCCTGGGAACAAGCACCGAAATCCCCTGCGCGCCGCAGTCCACAGCGTTGCACCCTTCGGATGAGAAAAGGTTGTGAACAAGGTGATAGAGGTGTGATCTCGGCTGTCTCCATGGCAGTGATGCTTAACTCACTGCATTGCACTAATTTGCTCAGGCTGAAGATCTGAAGTGTGAATCTTGGTACCCTGTGCCACTATACATAATACAAAGTTTTTATTGTCGTTTGCTTTTTAATCCTGGAACTGGAAGACTGGTCCTTAATCAGATAAATCATAAGATATTTGTTTGATTTTATCAGTGAATTTTCTGGGACTGCTGTAGAAATTTTAGTTGATAGTTTTATAGCTGTAGTTGAAGCTGGCAGCCTCTCAGTGCTGACTAGATGGTTGGAGGAGAGGCAGACAGAGACCATGTCATGCAGAGCTTACAGAGTTTAATTTCAAGCTACAATACCATCTAAATTTAGCTTCAGTGGACATGGGAAATGTAATCCTATGTCTTAGCATATATCAGTGCCTTGCAGTGAGTATTGCAGTAATGAAGTGAGCAGGGATCTGGCTTCAACCAGATACTAGAAGGAATAACCTCCTAAAACAAGCAAAGCCTTAGGTAAAAAGAGATCCTGAGACACCATCAACCCAGTTGAGGCTCCCTCAAGTCAGGTTTGATTGCAGAGCTGTTTGTCACGGGTGCTGGGGAGACACCATTTGAATTCCCCTCATCTGCAGCCCTCTGTGGCTTTGAGGAGGAACAGGGGAATTCTTGGCACCCTCCTCTTGTTCCACCTCCCTGTTTGGAAAGGGAGATGTGCAGTTGCCTACCACATGCCTGCTCTGAGGAGAGCTCTGCAAATGACTGCTCTGCTCTTGTGCTGGGGAGGTAAATGAGCCTCTTGGCGCTCTGGTCCCTATCCCTACACAACCCCTTTGGGAATTTCCAGTGTGAGCTGCTTTGGAAAGACAGGAAGATCTTCCCATGCTGAGAACCATGTTGCTAAACATAGAGGTGTCCTGAAGTTTGTTTTGGGATTTGGCTGCATCAGCATGTGGATCAGACTTTTCTCTGCCCAGCTGCCTTGAGTCACTTGTCCCTGTCTTGGTGTTCCTTCTGTGGATTTTGCAGGGATGTGGTGACAAGCAGCCACAGTGGCCCTTGGTCCCCTTTCATCCCAGTATAGCTGTTCTTCGTTCCCTTATCAGGCATGAGAGGCCCCATCAGGCACAACCTGGCTTCCAAAATCAGTGTGATTGGGACAATCAGGCAGTCTGCATAACACTTCTAAAAAGCCTTCATTAGCCTCAAGTGTCCTTCAGCAGTGACTGCTGGAGAGAGAAAACTTGGAGGAGGAGCTTCAGGGCCCTGGGTTTGGATGAGGATGCGGTAGGAATGAGAGCCAGGCTGGAAGGACAGGGCTGCTTTGCCCCTGGCTGCAGAGAGCACTGACAAAATGCCCAAGGAACCCCTGCACGAAGCATTGAGGGAGGGATGGTTATCCTCATCAAGGAGGGAAGAAGAGAAATGAGTTTATTAAGACATTTGTGCTGGATCAACAGGTTTCCTGTGCTGTTTATTCCTTCCATGTGCAGGGCTGCTCTGCTGGCACATGGCGGGGTGTGTCTGGGAGGGGAGGCTGCGTGTTGGGCACAATAATGGCCTTGCTGCCAAGATATTAGTGGATTATTTTGCTCTTGCTGCAAGTGGCATTAAGATGAGAGACCCTGGCTATTGTGCTGTCAATTTGTTTAATGATTATTAGAGGAGCAGGTGATTTCTATTAAAGGGAAGTGACAGACTGTCTATTAGATATAGGTGCATGCTTATTAAATTGGAAGCCTGGAGCAAGCAGCCTGGCTCATTTACTTCCAAATTCCAGACCAATCTGTTTTATTTGCACCTGGGAGGTTCGGAGCCCAGCAAAAGTAGGGACTGTTTGCCAGACAGGCATTAGAGGAGCACTGTGTTTGTGTGTTGATACTTGCTTCCAAAATGGAGACTGCAGCAGGAAGAAGGGTGGGAGAACGCAGGCTGGAGTACATGTTTCTCAGCTTAATTCCTTAGCTTTCTTACCTGCATAGGCTTGGAAGCAGAGGGAGGCGACAGGAGAATTTAATGTTTACGTGCAAGTGCTTTTGTCTGTTGAAGCTCTGTGTGTCCCCATTCAATTTGGAGTTGGGTGACTTCTTGCAGGCCCGTTTATCCCAGGGCCCTGGCTATGCTGGGAGCCAGCTGCTCCAGTGGGAGCCGTGGGCTCCTCTTGGATTGTTCGCTGCAGAGAGCACCTACCCAAAGGAGACTTTATTCACAGTCCCCAGTAGCTATTGGTTTATGCTCTGAAGCAGCAGAATTTATCTGTCTCTTTAATCCAGTCTAATGTGACTGTGGATGTTCTCATTACCCAGACAGAAGTTTAATCCTTTCAGGAAATGTCTCCCCAATTCAGTGTCTGTCTCATCCTTCTTTCCTCACAGTCAAACTGGTGCACTTGAAAATCAAATCTCTCCCGTCACAGATCTCCTGTAATAAGCTTAGAGCTCATGCAGCCACATTAGCCAGATCTTCACTGGGATAGTGACTTGCCTTCTGCTCTCTGCAGATCAAAGAGGATGCTCAGAAATTGGAAAGGCTCCTAAGAGACATAAAAATGATTCCGAGTCTGCGAAACGTGTTGCTAGTGAAAGGCATAAGGAGCTTGAGCCATTTAAGCTGTCAAAGAGGAAATAAAGAGGAGATGCCATCATGGTGTGCAAGCACAAATGCAGAGAAGATTATTTGTGATAGTAGATGGTTCTTCCAACCAGCACGAGCAGATACAGTAATATTTGGCTGGAAGGTCAAGACTGTGTGGATTTGCTGCAGGGAGGGGATGTAAACAGAGGCCTCGGTGCTAGGGACTCCTGCAGGCAGCTTCCTGGTGTCCTGCTGACTCCTTCTTGGCCTTATTTCTTCCCTCTTGTGTTTTCTACCTGCAAAATATTGATATGAGGAGTTGCTTCCTGTCAGGAGGCAAGTGTGGAAACCCCTCGTGTTCACAGAGCACCCTGAGCAGCGGGGTCCCTGGGTTTGCACTGGAAACAGGCAGTGTTACACCTCGTGCTGAGTTTCCACTCTATTTAGTCACACGCGTGTGCACCCAGGCAGCAGCAGAACCTACCGTTTAGTTGTATTTCAAAAGGAAATAAAGCGTGAGTCTGCTCGGTGCCGTGGGTCCTGCTGCCGCCCCGCGGGGCTGTCGCCACAGAGGTGCCCGCTGAGCATCAGTGCCACAGCCTGAGCACGGCCGGGTGGCTGGGACCTGAGGGACCGGCTCTGCGCTGGGGACAGCAGGACGTGGACAGAGCTCCGGCTTACGGTAAGCGGCTCCAGCAGCAACACGCGAGCCAAGGCTGCCATCTTCAGCCCAGAGCTCCCTACAGCAGCAGAGAAACGGAGCCGACAGCCCCAAAGGGTTGTACGGGGCAGGCAGTGAGGTGGGGTCACCTGGCAGACAGGGAGCTGGTTCTGCTCTATAGCCCCCTCAGTGAGGGAGACTTTAGAGCTTTCCAGCTTCCCCAAAACTGCTTCCATCCACACGCCTAGAAAGCATCTGGCCTGAATCCTGACCAAGGTGGACAGTGGGTGGGAACTTCATGTCACTCTGCCGTTTCTTCTGCTCCTACTTACCGAGCTGCTGCAACGTGTGAGGGTGGTGGTAGGAGACCCCATCGGGGCTGCTCCAGGAAAGGGCAGAGCCTCGGGCAGCTCTGCTCTTGCTCTCGCCCTGTCCCTCCATTGCCATTCTTACAGCAGAGCAGCTCAGTGCTAAGAAGTGCTAAGGATTTAGCAAACTCAATGTGTGCAGGTAACATGCAGTTATACCAGGGTAAAAGAAAGATTCCTTAACTTTTTTCCTTTCTTCGCCTTGAGAAGGTGTTTTTAAAATGCTTTCTGCCCTTGGTTTGGGTGTTCTGGAGCCCTAGCTGAGGAACTAATTGCAGTTGTGTTTTCATGGAGACTGATACACCACAGGTTTGTCTGCCAGCTGACAGACTGTCCCCAGAACCACCCGCACTGTTCACACCATCCCCTGCGGCTTCCTCCAATGCTCAGCATGAAAGGCAAGGGGAGGGCAGCCATCGCATATTACTGCGTTTGAAGGCTACAATAATGTACTTTTTAGCCTCCCAGCTTGACAATTTGTTGGGCTGTTATTTCATCGTTCTTCCCCTGCCCTGGGCGTGCATTTTCCCAGTTCAGACAAAATCACCACTTCCAAACTCAGCTGTCCTGATTGCATGAAGAGGAGCCTGATTGCATTATTCATGTGCAGTGCTCATGTGAAAAAAAATTAAAAATAACTTCAAAACTCTTGACTAGGCTTAAAGTTTTTGATGAAATTTTATTTCAGTGGAAAGGAGTGAGGTTACAGAGTGAACTGGTGGCATCTGCTCCCACACCAGCTGTGCCTGGGGCAGCTAGACCTGCAGAAATGGTTCTGGCTTAAACCCCAACTTAGGTCTTTCTGCTGCTGAGGGAGCCCAGTTCCATTGGGCTCTCCTCCCAGTGGCATCACGATGGCAGCACAACAGCAGTGTCACAGAAGCAGTGGATGTTCTAGAAGGTTGTGGCCAGGGAATTTAAGGAAGCCTAGGCAGTAGAAGGCAAAGCAAAATGATTCATAATGTGATAGAGAAATTTGACCTCACTGGTGTACTACATTTTCAGCTGGCTTTTATTGTGCCCTCCTTGTTCATTTTCCTGGGAGGCCTGCTTACCATCCTGGCTTTCAGGATAGCCAGATACACCTATGGATTCATCCTAGCATACATCTGGAGGAAAAAGGTAACGGCACCATATTTTGGAAATAGCTCATATTTTGTGTTGATATGAGAATGCAGCGCTCAAAGTTTTGGGCCCTTTTGTGTTGAACTTGTACTCAGAAAATCTGTATCTTGCATAGAGTGTGCTGAGGGAAAGCTTGGTCTGGGGAAACTCCAAGGTTTTGATTTTTACCTCCAAAATACTTGTTTTTGCAAGATTAGTGATTTGAGTATTGGGTTTGGATTATTGTGCTTTCCTTTCTGAAAGAATGGGGCAATACTGGGTTTTATCAATGTAGCTACTACAAGCCATGCAAACACATACCTACAGGAACATCAGCACCTATATATGTATCAGATAAGCACGTCAAGCTGCTGGAATGCTTGCTATTTCACTGGTGAGCACAGTTATCTCCACTTGTATATAGCCTGTCAGCTCCAACCAGACAAGTGGGTATGTGCAAAGCCCCTGTAGGTTACTCTGATCCGTTTGGGTTGTGTCTGGGCGCGTTGGTTGTAGCCATCCTGAGGAAGGGTGTGTGGGGAGCTCCAAGATAATGCTCCGTTTGCTTCTCTGGCAGGACAAGGATGCATGGTGGCCTTACCAAAGGAAGCAGAGCTCTGTCTATTGGATGAGGGTCTTCTCTACAGAGGTGCAGATGATGCTGTCAGCCCAGACATCCACGGGGCGTGTGCTGGTATGGACGTGGGTTAGCACAGTGGGCTGGCTCCTCTGGGGGCCTTAAGGCCTCAAAGGACATTAAGGCATAGTGACAACACTGTGTGTTTTCCACTGTAGGCTTTTCCCTAATCCAAGTGGGTTTGACCTGGAGAGATGACTTGGAAACTCTTCCTAAGTAGAGTAAAAATGATAAAATGGCTGGAACTCATCATCTGACACTAGTGGTGCTCAGGTTGTAGGCAGATTGCAGAACCTATCTGATCCCCTCCGCAGTCTTTCACAATTAAAACTAAGCAGTTGGAGTTACATAGGAATAATTAGGTGAGCAGGCCCCAGCCCTCAGAAGCAGGATCAGTGCTGATGTGTGTTGTTTGAGACCCTGGTTCATTGCGTAGGCCCAGCATCCCTTTCCTGGGGTTGTGCAGTGCAGATAGGTATATTCGTTCCTTCTGCCACACCTGTAACTTGCAGACAAACAATAAAAGTGGAGTCTAAGATGCGTGTTTGGAATTTGTGTTACTACCAGGTTAAAACTCACACTATCTTCTTTGATGCCTGTTTTCAGATGATACTGGTGTTTTTCCTGAATATTGGCTCGCTCGTAGCATATTTTGTCGACCTTAGCGAGTAAGTAGATTACTGAAGTTTATCCAGAATGTTTGTTTAGAACAAGCTGTGGAAGCTCAAGCTGATCTTCCTTTTATATATCTTTCTGTTGAAGCACTCTTGGTGGGGGTACTTTGTTCTGGGGACGGTGAAGGGGTGTTTGGGGGTAAGGTGGTTCTCTGGGTGCGCACACATGCCCCTTGGATACACCTTCAAAGCTGGATTCTCAGAAGAAATGAGGGACAGGTTTCCAAGGACTATGGCTCCAAACAAATTTTGAAAATTCTCTGGGACCCGTTTTGATGCCTAAATTTTCAAAAGCATTCGAAGACCATATTGCAGTGTTTAGAAGATGCTAGGCTTTGACTAAAGCTCGCAACCCAAAACTCCTCTGAAAGTCTGACCGTCTATTTTTGTAGCTGGGAACAAGTACAACAGGAACAGAGCTCTCCTATAAAATTCCAAACTTCAGTAAACAATTTGATGAGAATAAAATAGCGAGACTGAGGAGGGAAGCAGGCTGTGGCCTCTATCAGTCTTCCCTGAAATACATTTATTTTGTAGAGTGTGCTCAGGGGTAAAAGGATATTAATATGTAAAACCCCTCTGATCGATTTAATATGGCAGAGCATTGTTCTCAGGGCTTTGCTTGGGCTTGTGCATAGCGTCGGAAAAAGAAAATGGAATCATAAAGTGAGATAAATATAAAAGCTATGGAGCAGTCTGAACTGAATTCAAAGAACACGGCTAAACCTGAGAATCAGAATTACACATCAGGAGCAATTCAATATTATGTTTAATCCCAAGGCTTTATAAACTTGGCAAACAGCTAGGAATAGCTCCAGAAAGGGAAGAGTTTCTTTTTGAGGAGAAAACAGTTAATCTTATTCACCCCCAGTCCTTCTCATGAATAACATTGCACCCTATATGTGAAAGTAGGTGTTCTCCTGGGCTGACCTGTGGGCCGGATCACTTAGTTCTGTTTCTCCTTTGAAAATACCCTGTGTGGAGAATGAACTGGCTCATAAGCAGTATCCTGAGCTCATTGTAAGGCTGCTGTGGGCCAGTGTGACAGTCTGCAATGTCCTGGACTGCTGTCAAACATGTCCTGTTGGGCGAGGTGGTGCCAGCAGGAGAAGTTTATTCCCTCAGCTTTCCCTGCTAGATGTTACCACCTGCAGCCGTTCCTGCTCTTAGGCTTGTTCCAGCTCTGGGAGGCCCCTCTCATGCAGGGTCAGCGGAGCTGGCCTAGGATGGGAATTACTGCTCCACAGAGCAGAGGGGCACCCGAATCCTGAGGATTTGCTTAAGCATTCCTTAAATGTATGAAAAGCAAACCTTCCAGGATAGACCACTGGGTAGATAAGTTCATGTCATGTTTTAACATATGTGCTAATGCTAAAAGAAACCTGCTGTTAACACTTTAGCCCACTGAGGAAGCAGTGGTTTAAATTGCACAAAATTGTGAGTACTTTAAACTTCTGGCTTAGTAAATATTTCATAATCAAAATAAAAAAGCTTTATGCCATTTTGTAGCGAGTATATTTGTTTTGTTCTTGCTTCTTTCTCCTTGCACTGTCTGTGATCTGTCTTTTTCCATTAGAAGAGAGACTTCCAATTTAAATTGCACAAAGTTGTGAGTACTTTAAACTTCTGGTTTAGTAAATATTTCATAATCAAAATGAAAAAGGTTTATGCCATTTTGTAGCGAATATGTTTGTTTTGTTCTTCTTTCTCCTTGCGCTGGCTGTGATACATCTTTTTCCATTAGAAGAGAGACTTCCAAGATCTACTTCCCAGACAATATCCTTTTTATAGATACAGGCTTCAATGCTTTCTTCCTGCTTTACTTTGGATTACGGGTAAGGGCACATTATGGAAAAGGTGAGTTACAAATATCTATTTGGGAACACTTTACCTGTTTGGGTCATCAGGTCTTCTGAAATATATCTGACTGCCTTAGTTTAATCAGTGTCACCTTGCTTTTTTTATCAGCTGCTAAGTGCTTTCTTTTTGGAATTTGGTTATTTTCCATCTTTTTGCTAGCTCACACATTAGCCATGTCTTTACCCTGCTCAGTTGGCCAGGGCTCTATGCTGCTTGTGTGGAGTGGACTGAATGGCTAGCTGTATGCCATCTGCTAAAATGCTATTAGTAATGCTGTTGTAAAATGCCTCTTGACCCCAGATTTTGGCATTAGAATTTTTGACCAAGCCTTTAGAAGGCAGGATTCTCCCTGTGATGATTTTAGATAGTGAGGATGGGGTTTTGGCTGTCCCTGGGTTTTATACTGATCCTTTAGAACACCAGGGAAAGGTACCCTAGAGAAAAAGCTGGAATAGGCAGATGAGAAGGAAGCAGAGAGTCATTTTACCTTTGGGTCCAACCTGCCATTGTGTGCTTGGGGCTTCAGCCCAAGGCTTTCTGGAACAAAATGAAGCCTTAAGTGGGTGTTCATGGAAGCCAAAAAAAGTAGACTGCAAAAATGGGTCTCTTCTTGGAGAGCTTTCTCCTTGCTGTGGTGAGAGCCCTGGTCACGCAGCTTTTGTGCTTTTTGGTGTTGTTCATCTTTAGTTGGTGGCAGCAGATGACAAGCTGAGGTTCTGGTTTGAGCTGAATTCTCTTGTGGATTTCTTCACCATTCCTCCAGTTTTTGTTTCGTATTACTTAAAGAAGAACTGGCTTGGTAAGTGATGCTTGGAGATGCTGCTCCATCCTTGTTATTCAGCATCTTATAACAATGCTTATTTAGTTTATTTTGGCCTGGAGAAACTTGACTAACCACCACTATGCAAACTGTTCTGGTAAGCAAAATTACACCTTACTGGTGAAAGCTCTTGGATTTCCAAAGGCTTGTGAATTGCCTATGTTCTCTTTGTGTGCTTGCCTGTGTTTTAACTTGCTGAACTGGATGTGGTGTTACTCAGAAGGGAAGTGAACATGGTACCCTGTTTTATGAATGACTTCCATGCATGCTCTGAGACGTATAGTCTAGTAGGCCTCTATGTCACTTAATCCCTCAGTTTGTAGCTGAAAGAAACTGCATTTCTTTTTTTTTCCTTGTAATTCAAGGCCTGCTTTGAGGACATAAATAGAAATTCAGCAACAAAAGGCACTGAATACATGGCACTGCTATCCTCTCTTGTCAGATTTGATGTATGATCCACTCTAAATATGTGGAAAACAAAGCATCATGTCTAAACTTACTTGAATACATGCAAATACACTGCTTCTAGATGGAGGTTTCTCTTTGCCTTGCTTTTCTGCAGGTTTGCGTTTTCTGAGAGCACTGAGGTTGTTAGAACTTCCCCGAATACTGCAGTTCCTCAGGATTACCAAGGACAAGTAAGTCGAAGCCTGGCCGAGAACACCTGGAGACATGAGCTCCCTGGTGTCCGTATTTTGGCTGACTGTGGTAATAAAAGAAAAATAAAAAGTTGCAGATGGCAATAAACTGACTATTAGTAATGATGAGCTAGAAATTACAAAAAGTTTTATAATTATTAGCTCTATTAAACTGGGGGCGGGGGGGAGAATAAATGGGAGTCATACATATAAGAACTCTAGCAGGTTTTGAAATTTGATAAATATCAAAAATGGAATTATTTGACATGTTGCCTGTGACAGAAAAGGTTGGATGGAGGAAGCTTTTTGGAATTCTAAATCCTTTTGTAGTGTTACATACATGAGAAGGGTTTTTTATTTCTGAGCAGAGGTGGTGTCAGGTAGGAAATTAATTCTTGCAGAGATAATGTTATGTCTTAAAAGCTCTGGGCCTTTTCTTTTTCTGTCTCCAGTTATTCAATCAAGCTCTCCAAACTCTTTGCTGTATTTCTCAGCACATGGCTCACAGCTGCAGGATTTATTCATCTGGTAGGTACAGTCAGTTACACATCCTTCTTTGTTGTCTTAAATCAGTATTACTGTATGGGCTTTCCCTAAAGAGTGTGGCCTTCTCTGTGGGAGAAAGAGAGAAAGAAGAGTTTTCTTAGGAGGACAAAGCATGGCTTAGCATGATTTGAACCAGTGCAGTTTACTTGGATGTGCTGCCAAGCATAGTTGCAAGCCCCCGTTTTCTGATAGTGAATCACTTCAACAGATTATAATAGTGCTGCTTTTTCTTTATTAAATAATCAATAACCAGAGAGAGGCCCAAACCACGTCCTTGGTTTAGTCCTTTAAGCTTTTTCTCTTGCTACTTTCTCTGCTGAACAGGTAGAAAACAATGGAGATCCTTGGGTTCACCCTGGCAATTCTCAGTCCCTCAGCTATTTCAAGTGCATGTACCTGGTAATGGTGACCATGTCCACTGTGGGCTACGGTGATGTCGTGGTGAAAACAGCCCTCGGTCGGACCTTCATTATTTTCTTCATCATTGGTGGTTTGGTAAGACACCTTTATTTCTTTTCTGGAAATGATAGCTGGGCACACAGAGTAAACAGGCATGTACCAAACACTGGAGCTTAGCAGAGTTCCAGCAGGGACCAGGTCTCTCTGTGTGAACAGTTTTAACTGGAAGTACTTCCAGCACGACTCTAGAGCAATTTTGTCCCCTAAGAGCTGGCAGGGTTCCAGGTATTTCTTCCTGAGGCTGCAAATGCTTGACAGAACAAAAGCCGAAATACTGGACAAAAGAATCCAAGGTGTCAGGGATTTTAGGAATCCAAAGTACATTTGTAGCTGTTGCTCCGCACAAATTTTCATGGGTTAATTCATCATAAGTAGGATAGATGGAAGTGGCTCTGAGAGGTGTGGTACTTCTTGTTGTCTTAGGTACTGTTTGCAAACTTTAGCCCTGAAGTTGTGGAAATTGTCGAAAGCCATAAAAGTTACAAATCCTCCTATGAAGTGGTGAGTGGGAAAAAGTAAGTATTGTTGTTGTATGTATTTGTTTCCCTTTCTTTCCAATGTAACTCCTGAGGTACATGGCAGTGATAGATGAAATTACCACCAAGTCAAAGACTGAAGCTGTCTGTCTCCTGCAGTACTTGACTTCATAACCAACAAGCAGATATGTAATGTCCTGCCGTGTCAGATTTGCAACAATCACTCTGCTGTTTCCCAAATATCAAATCTTGTTTGATCTCCTGTAGCTATATTGTTGTCTGCGGAAATATCACTCTGGAGAGTGTCACTGCTTTCCTACAAGACTTCTTGCTTCAGGACAAGGGAAACGTTTGCACAGAAATCCTTTTTCTGGGAGAGTAAGTATCTGTATCTCTGTGAGATAATGCATATCCTTTCCCTCAGTCCTCTGAAAGGAAACGTAGGAGGCCTGAGAGCAAAGGAAAGCCCTGCTGTATAACTCATTAATGGGAGGTGCAAAACAAACTGAGGCACGAGACTTTCCTGCTGGAATGTTCAATAGAAAATGTTTTCAACTGGCTTTGCCCGAGATACCCAACTGTAAGTCTTGGCAAGTGTGGCAACGAGAGAAGTTCAGCAGTTGCAGGTGAACGCAGTGTGGAGCCCAAACGTGGGAAATGTCATTTCGTGGCTCTCACGGAGTAGCAGGGAAAGTTGTAGGGATGGTTGTGGAATGATGCTCATGAAAAACCTAGCAAAAGGCAAGAAAAATCTAGGAAATGTTTTCATGACTGCTAACTTTTTATAAAAGCTGTTTCCATTGTATCTAAGCTATGTACTTTAACTGAGCTACCAAAATCCCTGTAGTTATTTTTACAAACAGCAAGTAATTATGGTAAATGGCTTCTCTGAGAAACGGAGAATTGAGGAGAAGATAATTATGAGAGAATGGATTTTTTTCTTGTTGTTTATATTGAATAGGTCTCTTCCTAGTCTGGAGCTGGAAGCTGTATTCAAATGCTATTCAGCCTACACTACTTTTTTTTATGGCTCTGCACTGAACTTGGAAGATCTAAAGAGAGTTGGGGTAAGAACTTTACGTCCTTTCTGCTTGAGGAGCCAGTGTCAGAGAAATCTTGTCTCCTATGAAAGGTTGTCTGCTGCATTTACTCACTTTGTGTTGAATTTGCACTTTGGGTAGCTCCCTTTAGTCTGGAACTACCTTTTACAGACCAGTGTGTTACTCAGAAAGTGAGAATGCAAGGGCTGGGAATAATGGGCTTTTCAGACTATACATTTTTGAAGCACAATTAGGAAGGAGAGATCATCCTGGAGAAGAGAAGGCTGAGAGGGGATCTAATCAGTGTATATAAATACCTCAAGGGAGGGAGTGCAGAGGACGGTCATGGTCTCTTTTCAGTGGTGGCCACTGATAGGACTAGAGGAAATGGCCGGAAACTGAAACATCAAAAATTCCATAGGAACTTAAGGAAAAAGTTCTTAACAGTGAGGGTGACAGAGCACTGGAACAGGCTGCCCAGAGAGATTGTGGAGTCTCCTTCTTACATTACTGGATCTCCATTTCCCAGAAGCCTATAAAAGCAGTACAATAAATGTAGCTGTTCTTCTATGTTAACAACATTACTGCACGGCTCATACCAGTTGGATGACACAGATGGAGCTCCTTTGACCCAACCAAGTATTGACTCATGAAGTGCTTTGGCTGGACATCATGAGGATGAATATAACACTGCTGCCTGTTTTGTAAACCTCTTCTAGGAAGATTTTAGCACAAGAACTTTTAGATTTATTGTATTTCAGCACTTTAAAAATGGATATATGCATTATGTACTTGATCTAGTGGTTGATTGAAACATTAAGGCTCCAAGCTGTGTCATTGCCAAAACATTCAAGCATGTGTGCAACTCCAAAGTAATAGGATCCTGATGTCTTTAGCTATGAACATGCCTTAGGTTGTATGCCACTAAATCACCTCACTGGGAGACTATTCTACTTGATATGTGATTAAACCCTGATACAATTTTTCTTTCCTGGGATACAGATGGCTTCTGCAAGCGCCTGTCTCATTCTAGCCGATATTAACTCTCTGCAACCTTATACTGAAGATACTTCCAATATCATGAGGTAGGCTGAGATGCTCCAGTGCTCTTGTTCTCTACATGATTGATATTAGTAATGACACAGAGAGTGCGTTTGGCAGGGGAGCAGATTTGTCCTGTCACGTTCTCTCAGTAGGGAGAACTCACAACTCTGACTGCTTGCTGCTATGATTCTTTTCATCAGATGCATTGAGGAATTGAGACAGGTAGCATCTGTGTACCCTCGAAGCCCCCTGCAGAATATGGTGTTATTTATCGTGGTGTTATTACCCTTTTCATTGTCATGAATGCTATGTCAGCAGAGGAGCAGTTTGGCTCTCCTGCTGGAGAGCTGTGCGCTACTGCCCAGTGCACTTCTGCTGCCTGGTCTCTGATATATTCATCCTGATCAGACTTGAAATAGAAAATTCTTTAATACTGCTGGCTTATGTGGAGTTAGTGACCTAACTGGCATAGCATCCCACTCCAGAACCAGTCCAGAAGTCCAGGTTCCAAACTGGTTTATCCTTGATGTCTGTTTCCAAAGAAAAAACAGAGGTTTTAGCTTATGAGTGGAATTTGCAGGTGGAATATGCAAAGCAAAACATACAGCTCTAGAATTTTAGTGGGCTGCAGGTACAGTTCTCTACCGTATGCCCTACATTGTGTGCGATTAGATTATAGCCTTTGTCTTCCTGTCTAGGTGATGGACTTGGGTTTGCTCAGTGTGTGCATGTCCCTTGACAAGGGTTGGGGCTATATCCCATTTTCTAGTGTTCCCACTTTTCAGTTGCTTCCTGTTGAAATAATTTACCCCAACTTGAAAAATGAAGGAGTCAAGCATATTAATCGAAAGTTATATATTTTTTGTTGTTTCTTTTTTATTTTCCTAGAGTGCTGTCGATCAAGAATAACTGCCCAAACACGAGAGTGATTTTACAAATAATTCAGTCTCATAACAAGGTAGTACAGTTTTACCTCTGTCGTGCTAGTTGTCATGGCTAAAACTGCCCTTTTGCAGTCAAAAATCCTGCTTTTATAAAAGGGCAAGACTTTCTCCAGTGTCTTGTGTTCATTCAATTACTAACATAGGATATCTTTTAACATTATTTAAAAAAAAAAAACCACAATACCTTTTGCTTTGTTGTTTGATTTATCAGTTGTCAGCAAGTGCTCATACAACAGTTAAAATACCTCTTGTGAGCTTAAGTCTAGCATCAAGGGGGCCTCAGACGTCGGATGTTTCTGGGTGCTTCTAGCATGTCATACCTCACTAACGTGCTTAATCCTGTATGTGCTTTGGTAAAGGGTGCCTATGAAATGAAACCCAGCAATGCGTTTGAACATCTTGGCTTTGGGCCTTTTGCAAAATCTGTTCTTAATGAGGAACTCAGAAGTCTGTTTAGCTATCTATTAGCAAATTCTAGGACAGACCAAGTAAAAGAAGAAAAAAAATATTTTTATAGCAATGTTGTAGCCCTACTTATCTCAGCTGACTTGTAATGACTTTCCATGATTAACAGGTCTATCTGCAAAACATCCCCAATTGGGGCTGGAGGACAGGAGATGACATCATCTGTTTGGCTGAGCTCAAGCTGGGCTTTATAGCCCAAAGCTGCTTGGTTCCCGGCTTGACTGATCTCCTGACTAACTTGTTCATTGGGAAAGAGAAGACTGAGGTACCTCCTCTGCTTGTCTGTGTGATGCAAAGGCCAGGAGGATCTGACAGCTCTGCCTGGCTCCTCTGAGCAGAAACTGCACCTGGATCTTCTCAGACTTATCTTGAAACATGCTGAGTTTTAGACTGGCAGAGAAGGCACAGAAAACTAATAGACTATTTTATTTTAATATCTGAATTCAGAAAAGAGGTGAAACATAGAGCTCTAAAGGAGCCTTGGGGATGTATTTTACAAGGGAGAGTGCAAAGAGCTGCCAAGCCCTTAGCAACCGTGCTGTATTTAGGTGACATGTGACACTTGTTCCAGGTCTAAAAGCAGTGGTGTGATGTGTGTGCTGCCTTGCCTCTGAAAGAACCCGTAAATCATTCCTGGTTGCTCCACTGTACACCCTGCTCCTTCACCTGGTTTCATTCTGTATTGCATGGAGTGTGATCTCTGCTCGCAGCTCTTCGGCAGGGTCACTTCTGCTTGGCCCAAAGCAAGTGGCCTGCAAATCAGGCCCTGTGGAGTTGATAGCATGAGTTTGCCCCCCCTTCAGTTTTCTTCTAGGCTTATTGATTTCTTTGATTTGTTCTTATGGGATCATCTACACAAGAATTGCGCAGTGCTGCTTGGGATCTCAACATAGACTTTAACAGAAACTCAAGTGTCTCACCCTGAAAGGGAGACGACCCAAATTTATTCTCCTTTCACCTCTTTCCTGATTATTACCTACTACAACCCAAAACTCATAAGCTACACATTAACTTTTCAGTACTTGGAAATGGCTCAGCAATTTTGCAGTCAATACCAGAATGTGTGATAAAAAGAAACAGCTGTTGGGCAGCCAAAGGCCTGATTAAGTCTTAGTTTTGCTGGTCCTGCTGTGGACATGCTTTTGCTATCACCTAGTGGCCATGTGTGATACTTCAGGTAAATTCCATTTCTTGTGCTAGGCTGTTGGTCTTCAGGGACTTGTAAAGTTTATTTTAGCAAACTGAATAAGTATTGTGTGAAATAGTCACCAGTGTGGAAGCTGTGTGTGGGGCTGAGAGGCTCCTGTGCTGTCAGGGGGGTTTTATTGACACACGCTGCTTCAGTCGAGTCTGGGTGTTTTGTTGAGATGTGCCAAAGCTGGCCAGATTTATACTATCAGTTTCTAAAGCACGCTATGAAATCTCAACAAACTTTTGACATGAGAGTTTTTTCCCAATTAAAAAAAATATTAAATTTTATTAACTTTATTTGGAAAGGAACTGTTTTTTCAATACAGACTATTAATTTTTATGGGGAAGGAATTCATATGCCAAGGGAATGGCTTATTCTCTGAAGCAGTCAGTGACAGCCTACAAATGTAAGGAGCTGTAAGCAGTAGAACATCTTGCTGCTTTAACTGCGTGCACATAAACAACCCTTCTGTAGTCACACGCTGTACATTTAGCAAAAGAAAATGTGCTTGTGCTAGAGTTCACAGTTCAGCAATATATCACACCTCTAATAATTGTAGTTTTTATTGGCAAAACTTACTGCAAGACCAGGCTCCATTTAAGTAAGCAGGGAGACATATTAATCTTATTGCAAATTAAGGTGAATCTTTTCCTGAACTAATGGGCTCTTAATACTTTGCTGTCTTGTGAAGGTCTCCTTAGCTTTCTTGTTCTGTCATAATAATGGCTGTTATTTGCTATTAAAAAGGGTTTTCCTGACCTAATAGGTTTTTTCCTATTGTTTATTAACTCTGATACTGCCTCTGACAACGTATGCTTGATTTCAGTTCGACTTCTAATAACTATAATTGCATTAATAACTTACAGCAATAAAACATGAGCCTAGTGTTAGGTTATGTATGCTGTTTGCTCTCCCTTTGGCTGAATATCATCCTTGTGGTTGGCTCTTCTAGACAAAGAGAAAATACGTGGAGAACAAGATGCTTCTGGAAGACAGAGACTACAGAGTGATAACTTTCCTGCTCTCCAGTGATTTCATAGGCATGACGTTTGGTGAGGTTTGTCGGTATGTAGCACAGCCATGGGTGTCTGTCTGGTGCTTCCCCTCAGATGTGTCTTTTCACAGTACAGGCATGTGCAGATACTGCTGCTCTGTTGTGATTGTGACCTGCTTTCTTCCCTCAGGTTGTGCTTTGTTAAATTGGACCTTGTCTTGTTGGGGATTGAATTCAAGTTTGGCAGTCAAGGAGAGAGGTAATTGTCTGGGAGACTTATCTTCCAGCAAGGAGTCAACTAATTCCGAACTAAAAAATTCCAAAAAACAGGAAGGAAGTTACCCCTGAGTCTGCACAATGCTTGTACACCTCTTTTATCCTATACACAATATTTAGGAGTCAGGAAAAGATGTTTGTAGCAGTTGCAGAAGTGCCAGTGAGAGGATTTGACCATCTGCAACAATTTCCTCTTTTATTTTTTTTTTCTGACAGATAATCAGGCAAGAGATAGAGAATGAAACCCCATCCTCACCTTCCACTCCACGTGCAGTTCCCACTTTGATTTAACATGACTCAAGTGTATTTTCACTGGTAATGGAAACGCCTCCTCATTTTTTAACCACACGAGTTTACAGAGGCTTCTAAATGCTATAAAGCATTGTCATAAAGGGATAATTTGTCAATGCTGGCAGCACAGCTCCTTCTCTCTGAGGCTGATCTGGTCCTGGGCCAGATAACACTCTGTCTGTTCCAGTGATGAAATACAACACATCCTAATGGGGAAGCTGGAGCTGATTCAGAAAGGGAAGTAAATGAACACCATAGATCTTAGAAAAGCTTGAGAAATCATCCAGAAAATGCAGAGTATTGAATGCAATTATTGCTCCTTCCAGTTGTATAGAGGAAATGGCTGTTTTGAGCAAACTGTAGAATAGAAGCTCTGAAAGCAAAATGAAGGGATGTGGGAAACACTGCTGTGAGGAATACACTGGGGCCAGTTTCCAAAGTGTGGAGTTATCTCCACACTAAAGGAAATCAATGGGTGTTGTAGTTGCTTAGCACTAATGAAAGCTAGGCCACAGCTCAGTCTGTTGTTTCATGGTTTATATGTTGTCTGTGTGAAAATGGAATTATGAAAAGAGAAAGCAAGAACAAAAGGGGAACTGGCAGCTCTTTGAGGTAGAGTCTATATTGGAGCTTTTTTTTTTTTTTTTTTTTTTCACAACATTTGGTATTGAAGAGATTCTTATGAAACTGGGACCTCTAGGTGTTGCCACTATCTGTTCCGCCACACTTTCACCACCTTTTCATGGAAAATAAATTCCCTTTGTCACTGAACTTATCTATGAAACGTGTCAAAAGATTGAACTGTCTCGTCTCTCCTAAGTCATGGAAGCTCTAACAAAAGCCATTCATGTAAGACTTTGGGGTAGGAACGAACCCTCCCGATGCGTTACGCAAAGCCATGGATTCCACCTCAGACTAACTGGACGTGCTTTTCTTGATGACTTCCTAATACAGCACAATCCTGATCAATCCGTCTGTGCCGATAAAGCTGCATCGAAATACAATGGGCTTTTTTATTGCTCATTCCCTGGCGGAAGTCAAAAGGTAATGTTCCATTTTCCTGTATTGTTAAAAGTCTAGAACAGAAAAGCTTTCAAGAGCAGACAAATGCGTTTATTTTCTGCTCAGTTAAATATAAGTTGTTTCTGCCTAATCCATTTTTGTTTTCTAGGGCACATTTCTACTGTAAAGCCTGTCATAGTGATATAAAGGATCCAGAGCAAATTAAAAAATGTTATTGTAAAGGCAGACTTCGCTCAAAACCTTTCTCAGGTAACTTTTGTTTTTAATTACAAAGTCTCTATTTCTCTCTCTTTTTTTTTTTTTTTTTTAAGTGGCTGAATGAATCTCACTATTAACTGCATGTTTAGTAACTACTTTTCTAGAAGTCTAGGTTGGAACCTGTCAGATGATTAGGGAGTTTTCTGATGAAGTTACTAAAAAAGGATTTGCTGTACTTTAAATATTTTTTTTGTTTTTTTTTTTTTTTTTTTTTTTTTTTTTTAGAGCTAGAACTTCTTGGCTTAAAAGGAAGTAGAATAAAACATAGCCTTTCTGAGTCTTTGACTCTGCTGGGTTTAGCACAGGCTGCTGCTCTTTAACCACAGAGACAGAAGCAAACATGTTTAATCTGAGCAAAAGGTACAGTTGCAAAAACAGAGTTTTGCACCCAGTTTGTGCTAAGTTCCTGGTCAGGATTCCCTGAGGAAGGATGTCTAAATCTTTGGTGTTGTGAGAATAAGAAATACTAAACATGAAGTCAGCAAGTTGTTTTCAAGGTGGTGCAGGGCGTATGGCAGCGCTTACTGGTGTTTGCTTAGAGCATTGCAAAACTTAGCTGGATGGAAAGAAGCAGTTTAATCATGATAACACCTAATGCAAAGCGAGCAATTTATTCCTTCTTCCCCTCAAATTCCATTTGCAAGGTCTGGGGTCTTTGTTTTGGTTATCTGTGGATATAGAAAATACACATGGATCTAAGTCTAAACTGCACCAATGTGAATCTCGCTGCATTTTTTTATTATTATTAAGAATTTAAAGCAAAATCTAGTGTTAGGTGAGCTAGGCTGACCTGTGTCATATAACTAACATGAGCATTTCCACCTCTCTTTTTAGTCAGCCTGGTGACTAGCACTTGATTTACATCGGAGCAGGGGCTGGGAGCGGGGGGTTGCAGCCCTGTTCTGTGTCCCCCAGAACTCGGGCTGCCGTTTCTGGGCGTTTGTGGGCTCTGCAGTGCCATGTGCTGGGGAAGGCCCGGAAGCGGCCTGGGACGTGGGGACGCTTGTCCTGTGTCACCCTTAGTGTGTGGGAACGGGTGACGTTTGCGCGTGCCATCCCCACGTGTGCACGCACCTCCCGGCGCTCGGGAGCTCTTCTGCGGGTGTCTCCCCTCCTTGAAGACGGTGCTGGTTTTAAGGAGCTGCCGGGGAGTTTCCATTAAACGTGCATATGTACATGCATGCCCACTTCTCTCAGATGCTTCTAAATCTTTTTAGCAGCAGATGGCAGCCAAAGCCCGTTGCGGGGAGCGTGTGGGAGCTGCAGATGGTTGAGCTAAACCTCACTGAAAGCAAAGGAGCAAAACTGCTGACACCTGGAGGACTCTGTAGTAATGTCACAACAAAAGGGAAATGGGAGCCCATTTTCCCTCCTGCGCACTTAACATATACACAGTTATGGTCAGGTACTTCCTAGAAAAGAGACTTCCATAAATTGCAGAGGCATCTTAATTAAAAAATGCCAAACATGTGGAAAACCATTGACAGTGTAGGAGCTCTCTACCTGTCCCTGTGCTCTAGACAACTTTAAAAGACAGGAAGGTATTTAAAGGTATATTAATAAAGCAGATGTGCACAAACCTGCAGTTCTGCACCAGCTGTGCTGTAGAGGGGTCACCAGGTATCTTGGTTTATAAGGTGCATGTGAGACAGGTTTGCTGCACCTCTGTAAAATGCTGACACAGGAATTCAGACTGACAATAAAGAATCTACAGACCAGGGAGAGGAGTGGGAGAAATAGCATGATGAATCCCGCCCCTGCTGCAGGAGCCTGCAGGGAGGCTCTGGTGCTCTTAAAAATCACCAAAGTTGCTTTTGCCCGTCTCAAATCACTACCTGGTGTTCTAAAGCTGGGCTTAATGGCCCATGACCTCAGAATTTGGCCCAGAAAGGACCAGATCAAATGTCAGTGGAAAGATGTTCCAGCTGTTAAATTGCTGCTCTAGGATTTGGAAAACTTGAGCTCATTTTCTTGATCTGATTCCTCAAATGCAAACTGGGGCTTTAGGCCACTTAGTCCTTCTGAATTTTGGTTTCCTGATGGGAAGGCGAGGAAGCTGATACGAGTTGGACTCTCAGAGATGCAATGAGAATAGAAACATAAATAATTGCAAGTGACTTCTAAAAATTAAGATGATGACTCAGGCTCTGTGTCTCCCTACCCTCTGACTTATTTCTCAGGTGGAAGGGGATGTTTTCTTTGGGCACTTCGGGCACCCCTTGTTCCCTACAGCACCATCACACCCTCCCTCCATTTCCAGGACAGCCCTAGGACCCCCCTGCAGCTTGGGCCCCCTTAGACCAGCCCTGGCTTTTCCCTTTTTGAAGAAAAGCTGTAATTCAGCCTAGTCAAAAGTGTTTCTTGTGCCAAACAAGAGGGAACAAAGGTCTGCAGGTCCCACGAATGGGTGGGATGTTGCAGAACGCCTTGGCTGTGTGTGGTGGGTGGGTGTTTCCTTCATCCACGTGAAGAAGAGCCAAAGGTGCCATTCGAGGGGAACACTCAGCAGCCTTGAATGAGCTTTGTCTTTAGCTTCTGCATTCCAACAAAAGAACCTCACAAGGAAAATTTGTTTGCAACAAAATGGTGCATAAAGTGTGTAACATCCACCAGTTTGACTACTGTCTGCATACTAGATAGAATTATTATTTTAAAATGCTGTGCTGTGTTTCTGGGCAGTTGTGTGGATAACTAGTTACTCAGGTTACTCAAATGCGTAATAGCCTTTTGCAGGCCCAGTCTAAATGCAGCCGAGGACTGATACAAAAGGGAGCCAAATCTTGTTTTTATTGCCTTTATTTCAGAGAGACTGAAATTCTATCAAGAATCACTGCATATTTTGGATGGGGAACTTGTAAGGTCAAGGTCCTATGGGATTCTACCATCTCTGAGCTTCGTCAATGGGTAAGAAACGCAGGGATGTGTTTGCTGAACAGGCACTCCTGGAGTTTGTGTGTGCGCAGTGGGAATGGCGGGACGCGCCTGGCTCCGTGTTCGGATGCTGCTGGTGGCTGCCATGCGGCAGCGCGCGCTGCGGTTCGCACCTCGCGCGGGCGCTTTGTTTCAACAAGGCCACGGGAGCAGCGCGGAGGAGCCGCAGGCTCTGGCACCCCCCAAGCTTGCCCTGAGGCCAAGGGGAGTCACCCCAGGCGGCCCTGCCCTCCAGCACGGCCCTCCAGGCTGGGGAAGGCCCCTCGAGGCTGCGGTCGGCTCCTCTCAGCGGGTCGCGCACTCCCTCCGCAGCCCGGGTGATTCCCACCGGCTCCGGCGAGCCCGAGCGGCTCCCTGGCAGCAGGAGGCTGAGCTGTCACGAGCCACAAGCTGTTCCCAGCCGCCCACCAGCGAGGGTGGCAGCACGTGCTGGCAAACCGCTCTGCCAGGGTGTGTAGGGACAGACAGGGACCTCGGGGCGCCGCAGAGACGCACCAACCTGCAGTTCTCACCTCTTCTATTTGCGTGCAAGTTACAGGTGCTGTAGAGCTAAAGATGCTTAATAAATAAGACCCCCAGCCCTGTTCACGCCTCTCTTGTGCTTCGGCAGCAAAGGCAAATGTCAGCACTGCACGGAGTTGGAGGTCTCCTCCGGAGAGCCTTGCATCTTAGCAGCTGTCCCCAGCCGGCCCCGCGGATCGGGCAGTGAAACGTTGCTTGATGCCGCTGCCCTGCAGCCAATTAGGTCAGCTGAAAACATTTGGTCGGCACCGTAAATACATACGTGTGTGCTGCTAGATTGTGCTGACTTGTTCAATATAAGGGAAAACATAATTAGATTTGTAATGTGGCCCTCCCCCCTCCTCGTGCCCAGTAACATAATTTACCAAAGGGAGAAGGAAGAAAAAAAAAGTCCTCGCAACCTGCTGAAATATCATTATTAACATACGCATGAAAAGTCAATTATGCCAGAGGGAGGTATTTAAGAGAAGTGAGTTTCCATACTCTGGGATTACACCTTGGGGATTACATATTTCTTTCTTATTTATTTATTTTCCCCGAGTTCTCTGCTGCTGCTTAGCGAAGTACAAAAACGTTCCTAGGGGATAGTCTGAAATCCCCTAAAGACGTGGCCAAATACCAGATAAACAAGTGTTCCCTTCCCCGCCAGCATTCTCCCTCCCCACCATGTCATAAAGGTGCTGTATTCTAGCAGGTTTGCTTTCTGGGGTTTCATTTGAAATGCCAGTGGGGACTCGTCTGCCACCACTTCCCTGGGGAAGGAGTTTTGTGGTGGTGGTAGTGTTAGTTGCCATATTTATTATCTGCATCATAGAAGCGTCCTGGAACTAGGGCCCCCTTAGGCCGGGTTCTGTGTATGCACAGAGGAAAAGACAGTTCCTGCCTTAAAAAGCTCCTGGCCTAAATATGGTGGATGAAGGGTGGGAAGGCAAGAGGAAGGAGAAGAGGGTGACGTGAAGTATCTGAAGTCAAGGAGCAAACCTGCGTAGTGCTAAATATGCCCCAATAGAGGCTGACTCTTCATAACCAGCTTAGAGCACTCCAGTCAATCCTATACCCTTCTTTTTTTTTTTTTTTTTTTTTTTCTCTCACCTTTTGAACCAAAACCAGAATGGGATCCAGTTGCTTGTTTTCAGATTAAAGCTGCAGTTTTCCACCTGGGGTGTTGAGCTAAGAGAAAATCCACCACTGACCTTCTGTATCCCAAGGTTAGGAGAGTGGCCAAGGGGAGCTCCAAGTCCAGATCCCTTTCGTGGTTCATTTGGGGTCGGAAACTGTGATTTTAACCAGGGAGAGCTGCCGTTTCAGCGCAGGATTCATTCCCCAAGTCTAGACAACGTGGGCTTCTTCCTCTGTGTCTGGCAGGCGACGCTTTCGCAGCGGCTTGGGTAGCACCCCCTCCCACCTCACGGATGCCTTGGAAAATGTTCGTGTTCATCTGGAAGTTTAACCAGCTAAATACCTTGTTTTTAAATACTCTTAAGTTTAAAAAGCCAAGTACTTTGTTTTTAAATACCTTTTTTTTAACAGAAATTTACATCTGAGGCTTTGAGAACAGATTTTCATGTAGGATGGTTGATGCAAAATGTAATCAGTGGAAATCCAGTAATGTCCAGTGGGAGCAAATTGGGCCAGGCCCGTGATAAGACTCCACACTCAGACTTGGTTTGGGTCTTGCTAATGTTCCTGGTGTCCTCGAGCATTCTAATGGAAAATAGCTTGCCTTGCACTGCGCACGCTCCTCCTTCCTGCCTTTTTTTTTTTTTTTTTGAGGTTTGTGTTTTTCCTTACAAGGCTTACTTAGCATCATTAAAAACAAAAACAAGAAGCAACTAAACAAACAAGGCCTATAAAGCTGAGCCAGAAGTGAGTGCATAAAAACCTGTTAGGATTCCTCCAGCACTTCTGAGCCCCTGCATGGATATACTTGCCTTACTAGTCATGGTTTCTCCACACATTCTTGCCTAAGGCATGACAAATTTAATGGTGTGTGTTTTGCTGAATTGTTGACTCTTGTTTTTCAT